ATATGGGCACTTAGTGCAATGAACTTCCCACGTAGCACTGCTTTCAAGGTGTCCCATGTGTTTGGGTATGTTGTGTCCTTCTCGTTGAATATTAGAAAGTCCTTAATTTCTTTCTTTATTTCTTCTTTGACCCAGGAGTGGTCAATGTTGGCAGGTTTTCTGCTATTTGTGATGTTGTTGAATTCCAATTTTAAAGCATGGTGGTCCAATAAGATACAGGGGACTATTCCTATTCTCTTGTATCTGTTGAGGTTTGTTATGTCACCTAGTATGTGGTTGATTTTAGAGAAGGTTCCATGTGGAGCAGAGAAGAAGGTATATTCTTTTGTCTTTGGATGGAATGTTCTATAGATGTCTGTTAATCCCAGTTGAGACATAACTTCTGTTAATTCTTTTGTTTCTTTTTTGAGTTTCTGATTTGTGGTCCTGTCTAGTGTTGAGAGTGTGTATTGAAGTCTCCCACTATAAGTGTGTGAGGTTTTATATGAGCTTTGAGTTTTAGTAGTATTTCTTTTACGAATGTGGGTGACTTTGTATTAGGGGCATAGATGTTCAGAACTGAGACTTTGTGTTGATGGATTTCTCCTGCGATGAATATGAAATGACCGTCTTCATCTCTTTTGACTAATTTTGGTTTGAAGTCTAACTTGTTAGATATTAGCATAGCTATGCCTGCTTGCTTCTTATTTCCATTTGATTGGAAAATCTTTTCCCAACCCTTTACCCTGAGGTAATGTCTATCTTTGAAGCTAAGATGTGTTTCTTGTATGCAGCAGAAGGATGGATTCTGTCTTCGTATCCATTCTGTTAGCCTCTGTCTTTTTATAGGTGAGTTAAGACCATTAATGTTGAGGGTGAGTAAGGACCATTGATTGTTGATGCTTGTTTGATTTAGGTTTGTTGTTGGCAGTGGTATTGTGAATATATTAGTTCTGCTTTACCCTTGGTTTCTGGTGTCATTGGATTATCTATCTGGTGCCTACATTTTTGTGGGCGTAGTTACCTTCCTTGGGTTGGAGTTTTTCTTCCAATACTTTCTGTAGGTCTGGATTTGTAGATATGCATTGGGAAAATCTGGTTTTGTCACTAAATATCTTTTTTTCTCCATCTAGAGTGATTGAGAGTTTTGCTGGATATAGTAGCCTAGGCTGGCATCCGTGTTCTGTTAATACTTTTTAGAACATCTATCCAGGACCTTCTGGCCTTGAGGGTTTCCATGGAGAAGTCAGGTGTAATTTTGATAGGTCTGCCTTTATATGTTACCTGTCCTTTTTCCTTCGCTGCTCTTAATATTCTTTCTTTATTCTGTATGCTAGGTGTTTTGATTATTATATGTCGAGGGGGTCTTTTTACTTTGGTCCGGCCTATTTGGGGTTCGGTATGCTTCTTGTACTTTCATGGGCATGTTCTTCTTCAGATTTGGAAAGTTTTCCTCGATGGTTTTGTTGAATATGTTTTCGGCACCTTTGAGCTGGGCTTCCTCACCTTTGTCTATGCCTATTATTCTTAGGTTTGGCCTTTTCATGGTGTCCCACATTTCTTGGATGTTTTGTGTTAAGGATTTGTTGGATTTATGATTTTCTTTGGTCGATGAATCTATTTCTTCTAGTTTATCTTCTGCATCTGAGATTCTCTCTTCCATCTCTTGAATTCTGTTGGTTATGCTTATGTCTGTAGTTGCCGATTTTTTACCCAGTTTTTCTGTTTCCAGCATTCCTTCAGTTTGTGTTGCCTTTATTTTCTCTATTTCAGTTTTCAAGTCTTGAACTGTTTCCTTTACCTGCTTAATTGTTTTTCTTGGCTTTCTGTACTTTCCTTAAGGAGATTTGTTCATTTCTTCCAATTTTTTTGTTTGTTTTTTCCTCCATTCCTTTAAGAGATTTTCTCACATCGTCTTTGAGGGCCTCTATCATTTTTATGATGGTAATTTTTAAGTCGTTCCCTTCTGCTTCCTCTGCTTTGTTGTTGTGTTCCATTCTAGTTGGTGTAGATTCCCTAGATTCTGGTGGTATCATGCTTGTCTTTCTGTTGTTAGGTGTTCTCTTGTATTGCCTTCTTCCCATAGCTTCTTCCAGTAGGTGTTGGTGGGGTCTCCCCCTCTCTCTATGGTACTTCCCCCGTGGGCTCATATGGGTCTGAGATTCAATATCTGTAGCTCTGTGTGGTCCAAGCTCTCTAGGAGGTTTCTCCACAGACAGGGATCCAGAGATGGGGTCAAGGATGAGGATCCAGTAGAAGATGCCAGCAGATATTCACAGTGGTCCTGCAGAGATAGGCGGATCTCTGGGCGGGGCCGGGACTCCAGCAGAGGACTGGAGGCGGGGTCAGAGACCAAGCAGGTGGAAATTACAGGTGGTCCTGCGTGGATAGTCTCCTTTGTTCAGAGTTGTTCCGAGAAATCTCCAAAGTAGGGTGGACTGTTGGCTCCATCCTCTGTCCCAGTGCTCAACCAGAGCGGCAGGAACGTGGGTAGGGTAGGGCTCAGGGTAGGGGGGGGCAGGCTCGTGGTGGGGATGGGTGGGGGTGTATCAGAGCTCCAAGGGTGCTCTTGATGAGGACAGGAGACAGGAGCAGCAGACTCAGCACCTCTTATACAATGTTACAAAACAACACAAAGCCTAATTAATTATTAAATAAGCTTTAGAAGAATTATTGACATATATGGATTGCAAAAAATATTCAGTTTATGTAATAAGATAAATTTTAACTCCCAGCAACAACTTATTAAAGAACAAGAAGGCAACAGTTGAGAAAAGATCAGGATAAATACAACAGACAAAAATAAAGGGCCTTAGAATCAATAATGGGATTTGGAAAGAAGATAAAGAAAATGAAGCAGGTAGAGGACTATTGCATGAAGGCAGAATGTTATAACTAAGTCCCAGGAACAGACTTTCTTCCCTACATAGAACATCAGAGATAATGTTTGCAGTCTTGGTCATATCTCAGACCTAGACCACTAAATGACCACTCACGGCCCCCATATTTTTCATCTCTGTAACCTTACATTTGTTTCTTCATTGAGAAAAATGGGCTTAATACTATACAAAGTACTTTGTTTTAAGTATTTGCATCAGCTATCTGAGATATAACTAGAATAATATTTACTATATCATAACAATAAATAATTGTAATGATCCTTGTCATTTTTAAATTAAGCTTTATTTCAGGGTAAAGATTCTTTTCTATACTGTTAGTTTCTCATACTAATTTATTTTCAAACTTTATTTCTCAAATACAGTTCTCCTACATGGCTCTTTGAAGACCTCAGAAATTGACAAAAGGATAACTTTTTGTGAATGTGTGTGTGTGTGTGTGTGTGTGTGTGTGTGTGTGTGAGAATATATGCTCATTTTTAAAATTTCAATTGTCACATAACTACTGGTTTATGGGTTTTACTGTGATGTTTTGATAAATATATTTACTGTGTTATTAGCATTTTGGCATAATATTTATTATGTTTTCTTATTATGATCTAATCATAAATGCAATAGCTGGTGGGGCACTCCACTTTGACTCTTGGTCCTTTTGAACACTTGCTTTACATATTTAATTTTGCATCCAATTTGAATAATTCTTTTGAGTGGTGATTACTTTGGTTAGGGTTAGGTTTGAGGCTTGGGTTTTTTATTTTTTTTTTTTTTTATAGCTTCAAACTGTCTGGAGTTGATTTGTGCACATCATGCACCCTTTACCTTACAATTTTATACATTTTTGTTTAAAATCTGCTGCTGCTTGGTTAATACAACCATTTGTACATAATTTATAACACAGGAATCAAAGAACTGTATTATATTGTACGATGTTTGATGTGACTGATACCTACCCCTGCCATGATGTGATCTTTGAAGAGCATTCAAAGCTCAGAGCATTCATTTTTTTAAAATACTCATTTGATTTTATGTATATGGATACTTTGCCTGCATGTATAACTGTGCACTATGTGTATGCACATTCAGTACATGCAGAGATTAGAAAAAGGTATCATATCCCAGGGAAATGAAATTATACACTGTATGAACTGCTTTCTGGGTGCTAGGAATCAAACCTGCATCCTCTAGAAAAGCAGCAGATGTTCTTAATGGTGGAACCATCTCTCCAGTTCCCTAAGACAGTCATACTTAGAATTACTTGGGGCCTAAGTAATCAATTTAACTTTTTTAGCTCATGGTAAATGTGGGGCATGAACTATTATAGATCTGATATCTTCACATCCTTTCAAAGTTCTGTTGTTGTTTTGAGATAGGGTTTCCCTGTGTAGCTTTGCAACCTGTCCTGGAACTCACTCTGCAGATCAGGCTGGTCTTGAACTCAGAGACCTGCCTGCCTCTGTCTCCTGAGTGCTGGGATTAAAGGCATGCGCTGCCACCACCCAGCTCCTTTCAAAATTCTTATTGCTGCTGAATATTAAAAGACTGAGTTTCTATGTGTCGTCTGTAACAGAAGTGGTCAGGAAATCACTAAGATTTTAAGAGAATGTGTTCTCTTCATACTTTAATATCTTTAATGAATTGATGTCTCTTTAGAAAAAATCTATGAAGGCTCATCAGAAAACACTTCCTTTATCAAATTTTTGATAAAAGAATTTAATTTCTCAAAGACATAGTTCCTTAAAAAAACAAACACTTGCTATCTTTTCACTTTTAGATCCATAGTCTTAAAAAGGCTTATTTTATTCAGTTAATGAAGAAGTTACTCCTTTCTCCCTCCCTTGGCTTCCATGTCTGCTTCCTCATTCATTTCTACCATCTACCTAAATCCATGACTAGACCAGGGTCATAAATAAAGCATGATGTTAGATTTATCCCCTATATTATCATTTGTTCTCTTGTTTCTTGGTTAGTCTTCACCACGAGATTTTGTTAAGGTTATGACACTATAGTTCATGTTTCTATAGCTTGCCATGGGAATACGTCACAAAGGCCCACAACACACACGCGAAGGACAAGCTGTCTGGGCATGCACACCTCTTCCTGCCTGCCCCCTCAACCACCCTCACGATGGCGGCGGCGGTTCATTCGCCCCAGTTTCGGCCAGTAACACATCTGATATTTGACATGGATGGACTGCTTTTGAACACTGAAGATTTATACATGGACGTGTTTCAAGAAATATGCGGTCGCTATGGGAAGACGTACAACTGGGATGTCAAGTCGCTGGTCATGGGGAAAAAGGCCCTAGAATGCTCAGAGATCGTAGTGGACACCCTGAAGTTGCCCGTGTCTAAAGAAGAGTTTTTGGAACAAACCCAAGGGAAGCTGAAGGAGGTGTTTCACACAGCGTCACTCATGCCGGGAGCTAATGATTTGGTTCATCACCTGCGGAAACACCACCTACCCTTAGCGGTGGCCACCAGTTCCGCGTCCCTCGCTTTCCAAATGAAGACCAGCAGACACAAGGAGTTCTTTGGTTTGTTTAATCACATCGTTCTGGGGGATGATCCCGAGGTAACTAAGGGCAAGCCAGCCCCAGACATATTCCTTACCTGTGCCAAGAGGTTCTCTCCTCCTGCGGCTCCAGAAAACTGCCTTGTCTTTGAAGATTCCCCTAACGGAGTGGAGGCAGCACTGACCTGTGGGATGCAGGTAGTCATGGTACCTGATAAAAACTTGAACAAAGACCTGACGAAAAAAGCCACCCTGGTACTGGGTTCCTTACAGGACTTCAAACCTGAGCTCTTTGGTCTGCCAGCCTACCAATGAGGGTGAAGGGTGAGCATGCTGAGTGGACGTCATGAAACCCAAGGCTGGTTTATGACCCACATTACCGAGGGGGGGAAGTTAGAAAATCAACAGCATCCAGATTAAAAGCTTCATTGTCAATGCAGGTTATGAAATTGTCTGATCCATTGTTTACTTGGCCTCCTCTGTGATTTGCTCCCCATATAACCATGCAGAGAAAAACGAGAGCCCAGACTGAACATCTGCAGTTACCACCTAAAATAAAGCTAACTTGATATACAATAAATGGAGTGTGCATGCATGTATACATACACATGAATATGCCTATGTGATTATACATGTGTATCATGTTAAGTTCATGGGTATATATGCATATATGTACATTATGTCATTTTCCCAAATAATAATCATACTTAGCGTTTTCTGTTTCTGCATAGCCATAAATGGGTATGTGTACATAAATATATGAACATCTATATTACATATACTGCTTCTGTTCTTCCAGAGTTGACAATAACAGTGTGGTGTTAATTGATGAGTGAGATGGTCGTTCTGTCTGTCTGCTCATTGGCTTAAGAGTGAAAGCCTTGGTAAGGATGATTGTCCTCAGCCAGCTATAAGCTATTTTGAGACCTCAGGTAGTTATGGGAACTTCAGTCAGAATCTTACTATATGTGTCTATGGCACATACCTTCCATGTACATCCTAATCTGCACATAAGAATGTTTTTAACCTCAGAACCAATACTGTTTATGAATACTAATTTATACTTTTTAAAGATGTATTATATATGTATACTAATTATGTATATTTATGTAGTATATATATAGAATGGAATAAATCGTATTATGTATAAGTTATATGTAAATATATAATAAATAAGTTACATATTTATTGAGACAGGGCACTACCATGTAGCTCTGGCTGGCCTGGAACTGACTATATATAACAGGCTGGACTTGAACTCACTGAGATCCTCCTGCCTCTGCCTCTTAGGGCTGAGATTAAAGGCATGTGCCTCCATACAACATCAATGATTCTTGTTTTTCAAGTACAGCACTCAGAGCACCAGGAAAAGTTTCCCACATCCAATCTTAGGGCACGGTACTTCTTATTGCCTCCTCGAACTTGGACTGTGTGTATACGACGAGGGCCAATCTTCGTGCTGGCAGCAGGCAGTCCTAGTTCATACTTCGCTTCTTGTGGTAGGGCTTTCTCTTACCCCCGGTCTTGCGGCGCTTGTGCCAGTTGTCCCGAGAGATGCCCATCGCTCGGTGCTGGCTGGAAAGAGGAAGCACAAACTTGAAGTAAATCTTTACCAAAGCATATATCCAACAAAAAGATGTATTCAATATATGCAAAGAACACTTAAAACTCTTGAAGTTCAACAAAAATAAAAAACCAATCCAACTTAAAAAACTAGGCCACAACAGACACCTACAAAAGAGGAATGGTTGGAAAATAGACATGAAAATTTGCTCATTAAATAATAAACAATTGTATCTATTACAATGATTAAATTGCTATAGACTAGAGAAAAAAAACCCATCATACCAAGTGGAAAACAACAGACACTTATCTGTGGGGATGCAAAACAATTCAGTGACACTAGAAAACAGTTATACTTTTTTCTTTTTACAAAGTTAAACATAACCTTCCTACAGATTCAAACACAGCACTCCCAATTATCTACCCAAATAAGTTGAAAAGTTTTCTCTACACAGCAACCAACACACAAATGTTTATAGCAGTGTTTTGATAATTGCCCCCCAAAACTAGGCAAAAACATGTCCTTCGCTTGGAATAAGTGGGTACATGCATACAATGGGATGCTGTTTAGTGATGTAAAGAACTGCAGCTTAATAAGACACAAAACAACATAAGGAGACATAAGAGCACATTGCTAAATAAGTCAGTTTCTAAAGGTTATGTTCCGTAGGATCTAAATATATTGCATTCTGGAAAAGGCACGAGTACAATAGAGACAAGAAATAAAGGTCAGAAAGGATTCAAGAGAGTTCTGGGAAATAGACTGTGGAATACAGACTTGAGGATAGTCAATCAAGCCCACATAACTCTGAAATTAATGGTATCTATGGCCTTAGGAGTTTAGCAAAACCCATGGACCTATGTAATACACAGAGCATGCCAAGGTAAACTATTGCCTCCAGTTAATAATTATGTGTCAATATTGGCTTATCAGTTGTACCAAAAAACAATTGCCAAAAGGGTTTCTTTTGCTGTGAAGAGGCACTATGAACACAACAACTCTTATAAAGGAAAATGGTTTAATTAGGGTAGCTTATATATTCAGAGGTTAAACCCATTATCATCAGGCAGACTCTTCAGACAAGAGCAAAATTGCAGTCACTTCCTTCACCAAAATATCAACAAGAATTATCTCTAGTCCACATACTAGAATTCTCCTCTGAATCCTCTTGACAGCCCTCTATAGTTCAAATTATTCTCAGAATCATTCTGCTGCTTTTCTAACCCAAAGTACCAAAGTCCATCTTACCACAAACAAAAACATTGTCAGGCCTTCCATAATACCCCAGTGTCTGATATCGACTTCTGTCTTAAGGTTTCAATGGCTGTGAAGAGACATCATGACCATAGCAACTCTTAAAAAGGAAAAGCATTTAGCTCGGGTAGCTTATATCTTCAAATGTTTAGTCTATTATCATCATGGTGCCATGCAGGCAAGCATGGTACTGGAGCTAAAGTTCTGCATCTTGATGGACAGGCAACAGGAAGTGGTCTGAGACACTGGGTGTGGCTTGAACATATATGAGATCTCAAATCCTGCCTCTGTAGTAATATACAAGATCACACCTACTATAACAAAGCCACACCTCCTAATAGTGCCACTCCCTTTGTGGGGCCTTTTTCTTCCAAACCCTCACACACATTACAGAGCAATGTCAGTAATAGGGAAGCTAATCAGCTAATCACCAAGAAACACGGAGATACATATGAAACTGGGATAGGATTAATGCAATGAACCTTGAAAAGCTAAAGAGTGCTTATATGAGACAAGAGAGATGCCAGTGATTCCCAGCACAAATGCAGGAAGCAGGCTGTTGGCTCTCATAAAGATGGTCCTAGAACACCTGGAGTAGAATGATGAGGCTAAAGCCACTGCACATGACAGAAGTAAAGTTAAACACTAAAACGTCAAGATGTTGGGAAGACTGCAGTTATCAAAGGAAGTATTCACCTCAACTTGTAAGCACATCAACATAGCAGTTAAAGGAACAAATTAGTGCTTCAGGGATTATGTAACATCTTTGAAACTATTATTAGTCCAAAGAGTGCATAATTTAGGGAATTTGCATATGTTAATTTTCCTTTTCTTCCAGGTGCTTCTCCCATGATTAAAGAAACTCACAATATTTATATTAGTCTTCAATCATTGGGGAGGCAGGACAAAATTATTTTAAAGCATATTTTTCCTCAGTTACAGTATTAAAATCACAAGTTTCTTTGTTGCATATGATTTTTGTTTATCATTTAATGAATGATTTATTACTTGTTAGTAATTAAATACTACGTAAAAATAGTTGAGATGCAAGTGATAGCATATGATTAAAGTTTAAGTGAAAGAATTAAATTGCTATGCCACTTACATGTTACTCTATTCTTTTAGCTCAATAATAACTAAATTACTTTCTTTTCTCCAGGAGTGTATGTATGGAATGAAGATTCTTTAGAAATTACTTGAAAAAAAATAATTATAAGAAGGCACACACAGAGGAGTTTCTTATACAAATTGAAATTTGTTTAGTCTTTTACTTAGTTCAATTTTATTTCTACAGATCCTTGAGACATTCTTTAAGCATTTAATTAATATTAACAATGAGTCACAAAAAATGTTAATTCTAGTGATTTGCTGTGACTCAGAGCTCAAGAGAGAGAAAAATGAGGAGCCCTCATATAATGAGGCAAGAGCCCAGTAATGATCTAACCATTTCATGATGAGGAAAATATAATTAGCAGAAGAAAAAAACTTCCTTGGGTATCTGATTGCTAATTAACCTATTCACAGTTAAATCAAAAAATAAAACTTTTGGGAGTGGAGGTATTTCCGTACTCAGTGGACTTTTAAGAATGCCACTTCTAGTTTTGAATTTCTCCAAGATGTCAATGTTTGACTTGATTTGAAATGACTATATTCAATATATAAAAAATAAAATATTTAAAATTTGAAGTTTTAAACATTTAATGTGGTTCCAAGTTACTTTTGATGTGTGTGTGTGTGTGTGTGTGTGTGTGTTTCAGTGTAGTGGGGTTTTTTGCATACACACACAAACTGAATCACATTTCAGTAAGCACTTAACTACACACACCCCTAATTTTTACTTTTTATCATGAAATTTAATTAATTAATTATATTTATTTTATTGGGGATTCAGTGTTGAATTATAAGGCTCATTGACAGTATATTTGGTAATTATTTTATACCTAATGGATCTATTTGACATACTAGACATAGTAATAATGCTAAACAAAGGACTACGTAAAACTAAAGAATGCTGAGGGCAGGAAAAGTAGGCACAGCAAACAGTATCAAATCCAGTATCAAATAGTCAGCTCTGAAAACATAAATAAGTAAAATTATACAGATTGAACAGGTTGTATTTATTTATTTATAAATCTTTCTCTTCACGCGTGCGCTCTGTGTATGTGTGTGTTTATAACAATTGTAGAGAAAGAGGCCATGAATTTGAAATGACATACAAGTAGGGATACAGGGTGAAGGGATGGCAAAATAATATATTGTATATATCTCAAAAATTATTTAGATTTTTTTTTAAATATTAGCTTATGTTCTCCAGCCCTTGCAAAGCCCTGACCAAGTTTTCAAGGTAACCATTCTTTTATAATCCTCTCTGCCATTTCCTTTTTGTCATCATAGTTGTGGCTTTGTCATCATGGCTATGACTCAGTCTTTATTTTTCACAATAAAACGAAAAGAACGTCAAATAACCTGAGTGAATCAAGCAAAGCACTAAAATAGTTTTGGCTTGTCTGTG